GGGGCCACTGTACTATGCCACGACAATAACTTTGGCTTGTATAATCTATTGGAGAACTTCCCCCATTGCAATTGCTCTTATATGCAATCTGTGTGCTGGAGATGGTACATCTAATTGATTCAGTTTGTCCATTCTGTTGTCTTGATTTAGGTTGACTTTTAGCTTTTCTAGTAAAACACTTGATTTCATGGTTAAGCTGCTCAGGACTTCTATCAAACTTCTATTGAAGGATTAAAATTGATTTTACTTACTTCCTTCAGGTTTAGCAGACATTATTGGTAGACGGTTTGGTACTCGGAAAATTCCGTACAACAGAAACAAATCCATAGTTGGTAGTGTTGCAATGGCATCTGCTGGTTTTTTAACATCTATCGGGTAACTTTTGCTTGCTTATTTTGTTGCTGTTTTAGAACTGGATTGAACCTTAGAATCTAGCATGTTTCTTACTGGTTGGTAATGTTGACAGGTATATGCACTATTTCTCCAGATTTGGATTTGTTCAGGAGAGTTGGGGTATGGTTTTGGGTTTCTTGGTTGTGTCTCTTGCCTCGGCACTGGTAGAATCACTCCCGATAAGCACTGACCTTGATGACAACCTAACAGTTCCACTTACTTCTATATTAGTCGGCAGTTTGGTTTTCTGATTTGGGTAATCCGTGTAAATGGTGGCGAAAGAATCAACTGCATTTGGCCAACTTGATTGGGTGTTGTAATATGTGTACTATAGCATTGTTTCTTAGCTTGACGATCTGTAACGGATAATAACGTACCCATAAATGATGTAACCTTGATGCTCTCTTGTGAAAATTCATGACAATGCAGGTGACTTATAAGCGCCGCATGAATAAGACAACTGTGTTTCTTCTTGTAATCGGAGGCATTCAGCGTGCATCAATGCACGTGTTTTATGTTTATTTACAGTCTTTACCCACAATTAACCAAGTGAAAATGTTTGCTACACATCTTCTATGATTTTAGCATGTTTTGAGTCCCAGAAAACACTCAAATCATAGATAGGAGGAGCACAAAAGAATGAAGTAAGGGCTGTATTTTCAGTCCTAGTGACGAAACGGCGTGCAGGATAATGGTAACAAATTTGTTCACCAGATTTAACCGAGAGGTAGCATTATCACGCCACCTAATCCAAGCCAGGTGTTATGTAAATTAACTATGATTATCATTTGGTAACAGTTATAACCACTCACATTAATTATGATTATAAAGGCATCAGGATTCCTGAAGAACTGTTTTGGTTTAGGTCGGTTTAAAACGCAATTAAAGAAATCATTATCGTCCAGTTTTGAACTGTTTGAATTTATATTTGTGTGTTTAAAACCTATCCAAACCGACCACTACAGTTTGAATCGGCCGGAATCCATGCCCACTCCTAGTTTGAGCCAAGAGGCATCAAAGATGCTCGTCTCCTACGAACTTGGAATATCCGCCGCTTGGTCGTTCAAATGATTAATAAGGTCAGCCTACCAACTCAAGCTTCCAAGCTTCCTTAATGAGAGAGTGATAGCTTCTGATTTCCCAAACAAATCAATCATCCAAACTAACGGTGCAAAATAAAAGAGACAACTAACTCAAGTAGCAAATATAATTATATACAAGAAACAAATAATGGAACATAGAAGATATTAGGTGTGTGATTGACAATTCAAACATTATAAAAACACAAGATAAGGGACAGTTAACCGTGACACAGACATCATGGAAGGCTCATCACAGCCACAGCCCAGATTACATGTTAGCCAGACAAGGCCGAAAAAGAATTGCTCTGCACTTACCAAGTCCCCCCATATGCAAATCTCTCTAAAAACAAAATTACTTGTTATGAACTAGAAGAAGTCAATGGCAACTCTGCTGCGCCACTTTCCTGTGCACCAACATCATCTGTCCTCTTTTTCTTCAACCACAGTGAGAAACAATTGAATGGCTTCGCAACAACAGCTGAGTCTTCTTCATCAACTGAATCCAATCGCGGTCGAGGACTCTTAGCTCGCTTGAGACATGGAAGCACAAGAAGGCAGAGAATGAAAGCAGCAAAGATAACAACCACAACAACCATCATGACCTCCCCATGCAAGGCAAAGTGCCTATCACGCAAGAAGAGAATCCCATCTTGGTCTTGGTCTTGGTTGGGAGCCATGGCAGGTGACATGCTAAGCAATTTGTCAAGTGCCCATGTTGCTGTTGATGTCGGTTTCTTCATCATCTCTAGATTTCTATTCTCTTACTTGCTAAGGTATTGTGATTTTCCATGTGGGGGTTTTTCAGTTTTGGCAGTAACAAAAGTGTGAAATGTTTGACTATCGTATAGATGTCACATTGCCATTAATGGAGTGTGACACGTACTATCCTGGGTTTTTCTGAGCCCACGTAGGCCAAGCTTCTTTTCTTATTCCAATTTTTGTCTTTTCAGTTGGCTTTTGAGGGAGGGCTAGTCGGTTAGTGGGACTGTCACCTTGGCCCAATTTTGAAAGGCTGCTAGGGAATTCAGACTCCAGAATTGGGGGGCCATGCTTGCTTCATTGTTTTTCTATCTTATTCGTTTCTTTCCGTGTTGGCTTCATCTATCGCATGTGTACAACGATAATTTTTTTTGTGTGATCGTTACAATTCGACGTGCTGTCGAAGTTCACATATAAATAATA